TTTTTTATGTTTTATCTTTCTTTTTTTTTAGTTCGATAAGTTCAAAGACGATATCAAATCAATAACAATGACTATCGGCAGCTGTCATTTAGCTGTCAACAATTCTTCAAAGTCCGGTAATAAAGTCAAAAAATTATTTTTTGTTTATAACTTCAAGTTTTTTAGATAAGTGAATATAAATATGATATAAAATTATGTAGTCATCAGCTTACAGCTGTCAACAAGCTGTCAACTAACTGTCAAAATGCAATAATAAAGTCAAAAAGTTACTTTTTTTAAAAAGCTTTAAGTTGCTTAGATCACTGAGTTCAAAAGTGATGTCATAAACTTATATCATGTTTGATTTCTTATCCACAAAGTTAAGCACAAAAAATAAGTTACTTGCTCTATTATTGCATTTTGACAGTTAGTTGACAGCTTGTTGACAGCTGTAAGCTGATGACTACATAATTTTATATCATATTTATATTCACTTATCTAAAAAACTTGAAGTTATAAACAAAAAATAATTTTTTGACTTTATTACCGGACTTTGAAGAATTGTTGACAGCTAAATGACAGCTGCCGATAGTCATTGTTATTGATTTGATATCGTCTTTGAACTTATCGAACTAAAAAAATAGAAAGATAAAACATAAAAAAACAAGTTTTTGGCTTTATTATAGCACATTGACAGCTATTTGACAGCTGCCAACTGTCAATTTTGAAAATCTAACAACAGATCTGAATTCAGCAACCTCAAAAATATAAACCTAGATAATAAAAAAAATGAAATAGGCTATTTCAAAAGTCTATACACACTGCGCATATACATAAATCCGTGGAGGATATTCGGAGCTTTATAGCTCTGTACCGGCCAAACTATCCATTTTTGAGCTTTGTGGCCATTGAGACAATTGACCAGTATGATGAACTCTATCACATATCAAAAATTCAGCGAATTTGACCGGGACCCAATTTCCATAAGATTTGTGCGGGGTCCTTTGCACAGGGAATTTTAACCAATGGGTAGGGGAATCCCTAGAATGTTTTTTATTACACCTGTGGTGCTTAACTGTATTTCACTTAATGTACATATATGGATAGAAAACAATTTGTTAGTTATAAATATGTCACAACTATATCTAAGCAAAGAATCACAAATTTTTCACAGACCTGTATTGTTTCTTTTTTTTCTTTAATTATTCCGAATTAAATAAAGCAGTATACTTACGGTTATAACACCCCATATAGTCCAACGTAGCACTTTAGCTTTAACATTTTGAAATGTGTTTAATGTTCTTCCTGCCTGGACCCCTAAATATACTGTAAGAATTGATGTAAGTGTTCCCAAAATACCTATAAATTGAAAAAATATTTTTTACAAACACTTATTTACTTTTAATGGATAAGTTAGATAATCTTAAAGAATTTTATTATTTATTTTTACATTTTAATAATTTAATTTCTGTATGTTACATTAAAATTCCAATGTTTTTGATAAAAAACTAAATAAAAATATAAGAACTTACCTTCTGGATCGTAATACACTTTAGTTTCATATAATTTGTGGCAAGGTGGATTTTTGTACATATGATTTCCAAAAATGTTCCTATCTATATACCCAGCCACACCTCCTGTACAATTGTAATATTGACCAGATTCATCTAAGCCACCGGGTCCTATGTACCCCTTTGGGCAACCAGGCACTTCTGCCAAAAATGTCACACATGTGTGAATAATAATAAGACAAATAACAAATATCCATTGTGGCCAAGCCACTGTAATGTCATGGACTATTGGGATATTCTAAAATAACGATTAAATTAGATCGCAGGCATGATATTAATTTTAAAAAATTACATCAATTTCTAATCTTTTCGTAAATATAACTTCCAAAATACCAACTACTAAATAGGTTATTCCTATACGTTGTAAGACTCCAGGAAATCTTAAATCGGCTATAGTCGACATATTTTTATTTGAGTTAATTATCACTCCCAAGAGAATTAATGTAAAGGAACGGCGAATTACATGAAAAACCATTTGACGTCTTGGCACTGCACGCCTCAACTTACTTTGAAATGAAACTGTTAACGACAATCCCATCACCCATAAGAACCTATATAAAGTGAAGTGTATATAGCGGATAACGTTTGTCAAATTAATCAACCCTTACCAAGGAAAGACAAGATCTGCAATAGTAATTCCATTCCATACAGAGTGTTGAAAAAACCAATATTGTCCACCTCCATAATTGACAAATATCATAAGGATAATAGCAAGGCCCCTGAATACATCTACCGACTTAATACGATGAGGGTGTTTACGTATCGGTGGTGTCCTTTCGATTACCAATGGCGTACCAGGAGAAGAACCTCCTAAATCCTAAAAATAAAATTTTTTGCTGGAGGATAATAATATTTAAATACTTGAGAAATAGTACATTATTGATTTATAAGTCTCATTTATCTGGCAGGCTAATCCTAAATATTTATCACATATTCAATCTATCTAGAATTATACAGCTAGCACAACTTGTATGTTAGAAAGTACCAAATAAACTGCTGTAAAACTTAAATTACACAGGGTATTCTAAAACTATGAACAAATTATGGAGTTAATTTTACTCATAACGATAATAGTAGGTACGAGTCCCTATCACTTTTGAAAAAATTATTAGACAATGTTAATATAACTTCATGTCGTTATGGGTGCAAAACGTCATATTAACAGTATGTAATACTATTCACCCACTTAAATTAATTCATGAATATTTATTGTGAACTACATCGAACAAATTGAATGTAGTTTTTCGAAAAATATTACTAGCCCAGTCATTATAGACATGAAAGAGCCTGTTTCGGGAAAAAAATACTATTAGAAGTTTCTCTGCGGAATATTGTTCGGAAACCTGTTATAAATAAATATTAAAAAATCAACTCGAGGCTAGTTGGGAAACTTTGTTTTAACAGTGGTCAAAGTTATGGAAAAGTGGTTTTTTGACTCACGTAAAAAAGCTATTATTCATAGCGAAAAAAAGTTTATACAAAAAAGGTAGGTATTAAATAAGCCTATAAAATGAAAAAAGTCCGATTAAATTCCGATAATTTGTTTATGCACAAGAGCTCAAAAATGGTCGAAAATTGCCGTTTTTTTCAATTGCTAATAATTAATGCAATTTTCATCGCAGACACTTGTAATTCAGGATTTTTGAGGCTTTTTACACCCTTAATAAGTGGTAAAAATTTCAGCTCGAAAGCTTCATTGGTTTGACGTTGGCGGAATTTGTTATCTAAGAAGATGCTATTTTTCAATTCATTTTTCCCAAGCTCACAGGCGTTGTAGGGTTTTGATCATTAGTTGTTTTTGTACCTAAATAGTTGTATTGACATAGACATTTACCGAGAATTTAGTTTTTCAAATTTAATTTGTTTAAAATTGACTTTGAAAAAATGTTAATATTTATTAAATTGTTAAGATAGGTAATTATTATAAAATAAAATAGTAACCTCTTTACTTTAGTTTTCTTCGAATTTAAAAAAAAATCGTTGTTGTAAGTTGATTAGAAGCTGAGATAATTTTTTTTATTTATTTAATCGCAGTGACCTTAATTATTAATATTAAGAGCCGAAATTTGGAGAGAGTATACATTAAGAGCTATATTTTCATGTCCTACATTAACATTAAGGTGAATTCAACTATTTAATTTCGAAAAAGAAGATAGCGGCGATGCGTTCTATTACTTGGTCTAGCGAACGAGTGGGGAAGGCGAGGCTTAGCATGCGCGCTTAACGATGTAATAAATATTAACATTTTTTCAGTCATTTTTAAACAAATTAAATTTGAAAAATTAAATTATCAGTAAATGCATATGTCAATACAACTATTTAGGTACAAAAACAACTAATGATCGAAACCCTACAACGCCTGTGAGCTTGGGAAAAATTAATTGAAAATAGCATCTTCTTAGATAACAAATTCCGCCAACGCCACTAATGAAGTTTTTGGGCTGAAATTTTTACCACTTATTAAGGATGCAAATAGCTTCAAAAATCCTGAATTACAAGTGTCTGCGATGAAAATTGCATTAATTATTAGCAATTGAAAAAAAGCGGACAATTTCGACCATTTTTGAGCTCTTGCGCATAAAAAATTATCGGAATTTAATCGGACTTGTCTTATTTTACAGATTTATTTAATACCTACCTTTTTTGTATAAACCTTTTTTTCTCTAATGAATAACAGTTTTTTTACGCCAGTCGAAAAACTACTTTGTCATAATTTTGACCATTGTTTTAACAAAGTTTCCCAACTAGTTTCGAGTAGATTTTTTGATATTTTGTTTATAACACGTTTCTGAACAATATTCCGTAAAAAAACTTCTAATAGTATTTTTTTCCCGAAAAAAAGCTATAATGATTGGCCTATACTTGATTTTTTGGCTTTTATAGGCTAGAAAACTGATACATTTTTCATCTGCTTTTTTTCAAAAAATTAAATCTTAAAACATTACAAAAAGGACGTCTTGTTTCATAACTGAGAAAAAAAACGTCATAAACTTCCTCATTCACAGATCAGATAATTGCAGAACACATAGGAATTTTCATAGTGAGTGCCAAAACGATTCAAAGATGAAATTAAACTTATAAAATATTAAATATATATATTCACCAATTTTTTTTATTTCTTTAATAACGGCTAATTTCAGTCTATGAAACCTGAATGTTTAATCAATAGAATTACTTTTGGCAAAAACCTCGGTAAAAATTGAGAAATAACTTACTTCTTCTATTTCAGTGTTCCATGTTAAAAGTCGTCTAAGTCTTCCACTGTTCTTATAAATACATTTTACCATATACCACATTGTTCCAAAACAGAAAAGTACCACAAAAGCCATTAAAATTGCTACAAAAAAAATTACTGCGATTCGAAAAAAGAAACTCGTACAACTTACGTAAGTAAGCATTGTCTGCAGGCTCTTTAATATAAATTGGAGAACAGTTATCAGTAATATTCCATTTATAACGATAATGCTCATATAACAACTGTTTTATGCTAAAAAAAATATGTATATTATAACTCATGATAATGTATATAGTACACATAACTTACAGGCATTGTTCACGTGTTGAGTTAACTTGTGTATAATACAAGGAAATTGGAGATCTTGTATTAACAACAATGGAGGTGTTTCCAAATGGTTCCAATTGCGTTAAGTTTTGAGAAGTGCATTTATGACACTCATCGTATTGACCACATATAAACACTTTGTTTTGCAAAGTATTAATGATATCGATACAAGCCTCATCGTAGTTAAGATATTTTGGGTCTTCTAAGCACTTACGTATATTGTCAAACAACATTTTATTAATTAGACAAACTCAATTTAGGAAAAACTTTTGTGCTCTGACCAATCTAAACATAATATATTTTATGAAATTTTCGTTTATTGAATTATATACGTTGAGTTATTACACTGCAAATATAAAATAAACAATTAAAAGTCAAACACATACACACCTATAAAAACAAGTCAAAAGTCATTCGGAAATGTCAATTAGTGATGGGAGATTTCGAGTGAAAAATCGAGTGGTACTCGATTATTGAGATCACTCGAGATATCTCGAGATGTTTACTCCCACCACTCGAGTGATTATTACCCTACGGTTGCACCCCAAAATGTTAGTGCATACTGCAAATAGTCACTGATTGCGTAACCTTTTTTTTTAGAATAAAACAAAAAGGTGTTAGGTTTTGAAGTGCGTGACCTTTTTTTTTTTTTTATTTAGCTACGCTTATAAGTAATATATGACTAATACAAACATATTTGTGCACCGCTGGGATGAAAACGACCAATATCTCGTATCTCGAGTGATCACTCGATTATTAGAAGTACTCGATTACCGATAACTCGATTATCAAAATTGGTCGATTATGCCCATCACTAATGTCAATATTGTCAATAGTGTCAATCGTCATTATTAATGACCATCATAGAAAATATATAGAATTAACGTAGAATGAAATGTCCCTAATATTGCCAATAAACCGCGAAACAGCGCCACGTAACGTTTTGGAAGCTTACTACTAGTTACCTCCTAAGGAGTAGGCAACACTTTATACTTTGTGAACTGATTACAGCGCCATCTATCATATGCAAACGACTTCTCACTTATATCCTCTATATATTATTTTAAAAATTTTAAAAGTAAACCCTTATACAAATAGGAATAGTCAAGTGTCAATACTTTTGAGAACAGATTATTTAGTTAAACAGAAAATGTAGCGAAAAACTAATATTCAGTACTTTACTAATTCACTTCTTTGATAAGGAAACTAGAGGTTTCAGAAACGTCATAGTATTGTGATGTGTATTTGTTTTTCCAGTGCGTAACCAGACATGTAGATGTATGTCTCTGGCATCTCACTATTAGGCAAAAGTTTTCAGTAGTGACACTTCACTGTCCCTATCGGTACAAGGGTTTATTTTTCCAGTTTTTTTTTTCTTCAATCTATGGCAAAATATTCAAATTATAACAAACATTTATAATGCCACAAATAAATACAGACAATTTCTTCTTATTTATTATTTTATTATGTTATAGTATTTTTCAAATTTTGATATTTGCCAAGATATACTTAGTAAATGGTTTTGATAAGGAAATAAAACATTTTGTAATAATTTTAAGTTTATTTTATATCTACAAGAAATCCTAATTGATTTATACAGAATGTTGTTATGCATGTATGTACTATTAAAACAATTTCTTGTTATGTATTTAATTGTAAGTAAAAACGACAACAATTTAATTCATTTGCTTCATAAACTTGATAAGTTGGCAAGTAAGCTGTAAAAATATAAAAATTATGCAGGAACTGTTATAATAATCTCACTTTCCGGAGAGTATAACCGAATATTTGTACAATATTGGGTTAAATTCAACAGTTCATATAGTTTGGAACTTTCAAACCATAGAAAATATAATATTAACACTATATTTTCTATGTCTCAAACTGAATAAAGAAAGCAATTCACCACCATTAAAAATTTTGTAA